CCCCCCCCCTTTTTTGCGCATAGAGGAATGACGTATCTTCACAATGAACCCAATGTAGTCATTCACCGAGACCTCAAACCAAGGTAAGATGCGTTGCATTGCATCATATTTTTTTCCCTGGCAAATTTCATTGGTTTTCTGTTTATCACTCAGATCATCTCGTTGTAAGTTGAACTCAATATATAGGTTGTCTACCAATTTTCCAGGAATGTTCTTCTGGTGAACTCCAGTGCGGACCACTTGAAAGTTGGAGATTTTGGGCTGAGCAAACTCATCAAGGTTCAGAATTCTCACGATGTGTATAAAATGACAGGAGAAACCGGAAGCTGTAAGTATCTTTTGCTGACAAAACCCAACTCTGACATACTCTTACTTAGCATCCATCTGATGTTGTCTTTTTTTTTTTTAATGTAACGATGATATAAAAAGACCGGTATATGGCTCCTGAAGTATTCAAACACAGAAAATACGACAAGAAAGTCGATGTCTTCTCCTTTGCAATGATACTTTACGAGGTAAGATTTCAAGCTCCAAACATTCTCCGATAAAACTTAAAATATCTTACAAATGGTTCTTGATTGTTTCAACCATCATTTTCGCCCAAAAAATGAGCGCAGATGCTTGAAGGGGAACCGCCATTTGCGAGCCACGAGCCTTACGAAGCGGCAAAACACGTAGCAAATGGGCACAGACCCACGTTCCGTTCCAGAGGATGCACTCCTGACCTTAGAGAGTAAGCCATTTCTGTGAAAAAACAAAGTAGAACAAGTTGAGAAAAGGTCTCTCTTAATTTGTACTAAAAATGGCATAACGTTGAATATGGAAAGGTTGATGGAGAGGTGCTGGGATGGGGACATGAACCAGAGGCCATCATTCCTGGAGATACTAAAGAAGCTTGAGAAGATAAAAGAAACTCTGCCCTCAGATCATCACTGGGGCTTGTTCGCCTCCTCCTAACCCCTAAAACCCTCTTCTCATTCATTTGCTTGTGTCTGTCCTTTGTAAGTAGAGATTCCCATCCTTTTGTGTTTTTTTCCCTATGCGATGAAACATATTCATTCAAAGCTTGTTGTTCTTGCTCTTCTTGTTCCATTTTCATGAAAAAGTCCATGACAGATCTGTAGACTTTCAATTTCAGGTTTTAAATCTTACATACGTATAAAAAATCCTTTTCCAAGGTAAAAAGAATGATGCAGTAAAAAAACCTTTTCCAAGTTATATGAGCTTCGTCTTCTGGAAGAAGGTCTTCAGGTGCCAACAGACAAACAAACAATGTGAGATCTATTGACTGGAGGGTCTTCAATAGATCTTACACTGTATCATCACTGCCAAAAACATTAGCCTAAATTGAATTATAATTTAAATTATGTTTGAATTATTTTAGCGAACCCATAAACAATTATAATTGAAGGAAATTTTAATTTTATTGGGTTTATTTTAAAATTTTGTGTATTTTATAAAGAAAATATATTTTTTTAATTAAGTGAATGGGCCTATGACCCAACCAAATCCATGTAGGTCCGGCCATGAGATATATATGTACATTTGGGGAAATAATTTGAATAGCTGCTCCATGCATGCATGCATGTGTATTTCCCAAGGCAACATGCATGCAAGCATGCGTACGTACTGTATCATAAATGGGCCAACCCACTTGCGTTGCATGCGTGGAGCACTTGTCGGGAGTCCCAAGGTAAAAGGAAGTTCTCAAATGGGGTCCGGCTCTATGAGCTCCTGGGCCTTGCTTTTTCGCTCCGCTCATTATCCGAAAGTCCAATACTCGGTCTTCGTGAGGGTGTTTTTTTATTACAAAAAATAATGTTAATTCCATCAAGGTTTCATGCATCACTCGGAAACTCAGACTCAGCTAAACTTTGATATTCATGTTTTAAAAAATAAAAAATTGCAGTAGCCGTACGGACATGCGATTTGGCGGACTTTCATACAAACGTACAAGTTTTTCTTTTTGGTCAACGGGAAAAATGGTGGGTTTGCTTAGAGAGGGGCGTCAACTCGTCAAAGAGAGGGGCCCCAAGACCTGTTCAGTCTTTTTCCTTAAGTTAGGATCGTAAGAAGAATAGTTTGTATAAAAAAAAAAAATGGAAAGTTGATGGGCCGATCCAATGCGCTGATATTTTTCTAGAGACTCGGTTAAATCATGTATCGATGAAAATTACAAATTGATAGATAAACTACGCATGCGGTGACCATATTGACGATCCTAGTCCCTCTCTCTATTTTGTAAGTCTCGATACATCAGATCAGAGCCCCCACATGGTAGCTGCCTTGTTTGAATCTTGGACATTTCAATAAAGTGACAATTATTTTTTTTTATTTTTGTTAAGACATATCTAACTGCAGCCCCAACCGATCCTGTTTTTTTTTTTTTAGCATAATGGTTTTTTCCATAAAATTTCCTAAAAAATTATAAATTATATAAAAACATATTAACATAAAATGTAAAATTCCAACTAGAATTTTATCAAAATCAATATTTAAACTTAATATAAACAGCAATATTCTCTAAAATCATAGAAATGAGTTAAAATAAATAAAAATAACATTGTTTTCCAAGTTTAAAATGGTAAAAAGAATGTAGTGAATAATTAAATATAGATTAATTTCGATTATAATAAAATCAATAATTTAGGTTTTAAAATGGTAATTTTTAACTAGCAACTGATTTGATAAAATTATTGTTTACTGTTTTAAAAATAAATATGTTAATTTGTATCCCTTGATTACTATTCAAATTTCAAAAGGAATTTTTAAAGAGCACCTAGTCATATACAAAATTTTCCAAATACATAGTTGGAGCATATAAGTTTCTTTTAAGATACAATATAATCCACATAATTTGCACTAAATATTATTCAAATATATTTTGCAAATATTTTTTTATTTAAAAAGATATTTTGCAAAGATATCGATATCTAGCAAACTTTCTTTTCCATTGTTGCATTCATTCCATATGTAACACGTCTCCTTTAGCTACACAGTCTTCTTTCAAACCAAATTTTCATGTTTAGTTTGTATTATACCTTACTCGCGTATTTTTTATAAATAAATATATATGGTGTTGAAATAATTTTTAATATAATTTAGATATAAAACTTAATTGAACCTCTTAAAAATATATATAATTTTATTTTAAAATTTTATTTGATATCATTAATAAGAAATAGAAATATAATATTGTATATGTATATATCCTAACATTTTTTAAAAAATTAAGATATATCCAATAAATTTATTGGTGAATTTTAAGATTAAATGTGGATGAATTTTGTGTCGATTACATTTTTAAAAGATTTAAATAAAATATATGATATTATATAACTATTTTTTTAAATAACAATTTTAATATATATACACACACGTGTATTCTAGATAACCACTTATCTATTACAATTAATTCTACATCCACCAACATGTTGCATATGTCAGTCTGGACTGTCTGGTACGGTTCATTTTCCAATATCTAGATATTTTATTTTATTTTTTGCTAACGAAGATATTTTGTTTTAGATATTACTTATTAGTTCATTAGACTTTTTGATTGTTCGAAATCTTCTTTAAACTTTTTTTTTTGTCACGGTCCATTTTCATGGTATATGGTTGCCCCATTGAATATAAATATTTAAAGCTCAATTTTTTCTTTCTAATAATCTATCATACTTGAGTCGTTTCTTCCTGTGTAGTATTATTATGATCATTATGCAACGAAATTGACAATCGCAAGAAAAGGTGACGGGACAGCTATCTACTTCCATTCTTTCGTATCCTAAAAGAATATATATATATATATGTATATATATAATATAATATTTGCATGTAAATCTTTCTAATCAACAACTCTCTCAATTATAATAATTGCCACTCGGCCGGTCGAGGTCGACTGCAAAAGATTTCGAAATTACAAACAGTAACAAAAATATAAAATAATTTCCATCTGTTTTTATGGGGAAGATATTATCATAAAATGAATTCATGCCGTACGCACGCAGTACGACCGGTGATAGATCTGTTCAAGATCAAAGATATTTATAAGCATACATATATATATATACTTATTAGATGGTGTAAAAAATGAAAGTTGATGGACCGAATCCAGATTACTGAATTTCTACCCAAAGCATCGGTAAATTAATGTATTAATAAAAAAAAAATACAAACTGAAAGACCAATTGTCTGAGTGAAGTGGGCAGTGGCCCATAAGATAAGACCATATTTTAAAATGATCGGTTTGGACCACAAATGCATATGATCTCCCCATCCAATGTCTAAAAAACCCAGCAAACTAAATGGTGACAGTAGACTTAAACACATTTTTGAAGTCTTGATACATCAGCACGTTAGTTGCCCAATTTGAATATTGAATAATTCAATAAAGTTACTGACCATTTCCATTGTTTTATTCAAAGAAATCCAAAAGAACATCCTTATATTATCAACCGTTTTTTAATCATACAATTAAACACGCTTAGATCACTTGGTCTTCCCAACTTGTCTCTCCCTCCATCTCTCTCTCTCTCTCTATATATATATATATACACACGCACATATACATATACACATACACGTCAGAAAGACATTGCGTCTATATGTTCTCTGTCATATTTGATTTGTTGGGGTCCTCTTGTGTTACTCATACAGCTTAACCACAGAGAATACACAAGGAACATACATCTTCTTCTCCGACAAGATTTTTCGCCGGAAAAAATGAAGTTCGGGAAAGAATTCGCGTCGCAGATGGTGCCGGAGTGGCAAGAAGCATACATGGACTACGACTATCTCAAAACGCTCCTCAAAGAAATCATCAGATTCAAACACAGAACCAATCCGCCGCCGCCGGCGTCCCAAAACGCGAATTCCGGCGGTCTGAAACGCAAGATGACACTCTACCGAGCGTTCAGCGGTCTGGTGTCGACTCCGAGCAGGACGTCAAGGCACAGCGGTCAGATAAATCCAGACATCGAACAAGGACAGAGAGTTCCGATCATGGTAAACACAGTGAACGACGAGTACGAAACGGCGTTTCTGATGGCGGCGGAGGAAGGCGGAGAGTACGAGCTCGTCTTTTTCCGGCGACTCGACGATGAGTTCAACAAGGTGAGTAAAAATCTTGACCATTGATTCAAATTATACATTTCAATGGTGGTGATGAATACTTAAATTATATATATATATATATATATATATGTTGCGTTGAAAATAGGTGGAGAAATTTTATAAAGCGAAAGTGGAGGAAGTGGTGAAGGAGGCAGTGATGCTGAACAAACAGATGGACGCGCTGATCGCGTTTCGGATAAAAGTGGAGAATCCCGAAGGATGGCAGTGGCCGCAGAGGACGGTGGAGATGACGCGTTTGGCGTCTGATATCGCCACTTCCGCGGCTGCGTTAGCGGCCTCCACGCCGGCCGGCGCTCGAACCGGTAATAAACACCCCATACTCATCATCACACCTACCTACCTAACTCACTGACTTTCTTATTCACTTGCTTTTTTGGATATTTTTAAAAAATACTTTTTTTCCCGAAAAAAATGCTGAGCAAATCGTCCGGAAATTATTTTTTTTTTCCTCACGTGATTAGTCTGGGAAAAAAAAGGTACAGTCTAATTAAACGTGTTCCCTTCGTTTAGAATGTTAAATGAAAGTATTTCTAAAACTATTATATTCAAATTATATAAGACAGTTGCTTCTTTATTATAGGAAAATTAATATACTAGTTATGTTTATACACTAGTTTCCGTGTTAGGTTACAAAACCGGATTGGTTTAGGATGATACGAACCGGTTTACTACGTATCGTACCAAAGCGCCATTTCAAAAAAAAAAAGGATTGATGTGCCTTTGCGGATTTTTTTACTCAAATGACCCGCTTGAGTTGCATCTATTTCAGTGTATACCACCAAAAAAACAAATTTTTTTTCTTCGATTTTAACCCACTTTTCAATTAAAAAAATCCAAAATATTTTTTTTTATATATTTTGTGTGAACTTATTACGACTAATATATAACTGATATATCATTAAAATAAGATTTTATAATCAATTGTAATTATGTTTAGAATTAATTACGAAGTCGTAATAACGAAATTATTTTTGAACGGATAAAAATCGTGTATTTATTAATTTCGACTTTTCAAAAAAAATTAATGCTTTATGTTGAAATATGTTTTTTGTGGGGTGATTTGAGTAAAAAACCTTTTGTTGCAGGCAAAGCTCCGGCTCACATGGAGGCCATACAGGAAGGAGGCTCGAGCAGAGCTGATCGATCCGACGAAGATGACGACGAAGAGGAAAAAGAAGAAGATGATAGCAGAGCGAAACGATTGTCCGGTGAACAGAATTCGAACACTGGGAGCAGGATGAGAGCAGTGAGGCCGACTCCGATCGAGGTTTTGGACCGAGTAAAGATCAACAACACCTTGGAAACTCCTCGTTCCACCATTAAAGGTGTGCTCAGGGTCCCAAACATGGAGGAACTCAAGTTTAGCAGAGAGAATCTGAAGAGAGTCGAGGAGAAGCTAAAACGCGCCTTCGTCGAGTTTTACCAGAAGCTTCGGCTCCTCAAGAGCTACAGGTATGTATCCTCACGTGTACATGTCAATGGAGATGATCATGTGTATTTTTTGGAATTCGGGTGATTGATGATGGGTTTGAATGTGTGATGATGCGTAGCTTTCTGAATGTGTTGGCCTTCTCAAAGATCTTGAAGAAGTATGACAAGGTCAGTTTTTTTGTAGAAGATATTTTGATTTCTCCAATTTTAGGGTTTATGATACGGTGTGTGAATTCCGTCCGATGAAATTGCATTTACAGATAACTTCGAGGAACGCCTCGAGACCTTACATGAAAACAGTGGATAATTCGTTTCTTGGAAGCTCTGAAGAGGTGAGTGAGGATAAAGAGATTTTCTTAGTTTGATCCAATGGGACTAATGACTTGATCTGACCTTCTGTTTGCTCTTGTATCGATCTTATATATATATATATATATTTTTTTTTTTCCATCTGTTGTTCTTACAGGTTGTGAAGCTTATGGAACGAGTCGAATCTACGTTCATAAAGCATTTCGCGAATGCTAACAGAACAAAAGGAATGGGCATTTTGAGGCCTCAAGCTAAAAGAGAGAGACATCGGCTTACATTCTCCACTGGTAAACTTGAAAAGAAACTTACTTACATGCTCCTTCATGATTCGGCTTTGCTGTCTCCCCTATGTGCTTATAAGGAATTCTCTTTCAGGTTTCTCGGCTGGATGTGTGTTTTCACTAATAGTGGCACTTGTTGCCATCATACGTACCCGAAATATCTTACAGGAGAAAGGGCAGGCTCGTTACATGGAGACTATGTTCCCTCTTTATAGGTAGACTTCACTTTGGTCTCTCTTACTTAGATCTTGTGTCAACATCTATATGGAACCATAACTTATGTGTTGTGTTGTCTCTGTTAATTGCAGTTTATTTGGGTTCATTGTTCTGCATATGGTCGTATATGCCGCTAATATATTCTATTGGAGGCGGTATCGTGTAAATTATTCCTTCATATTCGGGTTCAAGCAAGGAACTGAACTTGGGTATAGACAAGTTCTGTTTGTGGGCTTCACTCTTGGAGTATTTGCGCTTCTTTGTGTCCTTGGCAATCTCGACATGGAGATGGATCCCAAAACCTTAGATTACCAAGCACTAACCGAACTTCTGCCTCTCTTCTTACTCGTTGTAAGTCCAATATCAAAAATGTATTAAATACCCAAAATAGCCGAAGACGATCATTTCATTGATCAGAATTCCTTATTTTCAATGTCTGCAGGCAATGATTGTAGTTTTGATCCTGCCCTTCAACATCTTCTATCGCTCCAGTCGCTTTTTCTTCCTCACATGCTTATTTCACTGCCTTGCTGCTCCTCTCTACAAGGTAAAACAGAAATGTGAATGGCTCACTGATGGAAGAGTTGGTTTATATTCTAACACCGGTCTTAAGTAATTACTGTTTTGCCATCTTCTGCAGGTAACATTACCTGATTTCTTCTTGGGAGATCAGTTAACGAGTCAGGTCCAAGCACTTAGAAGCATCGAGTTCTACATCTGCTACTATGGTTGGGGAGACTACAAACATAGAAGAAACACTTGCAAAGACTCCAGTGTCTACCAGACTTTCTTCTTCATCATTGCAGTCATCCCATATGTAGCTCGTCTTCTTCAGGTACACAGAGTCTTCCCCTCAATCACATGGCCCTTTTTCAAACCCTCCAAGTGAAAACACCCATTTGCTAACACTACTGGAATCGGTTTTCGTATTCTTTCAGTGCCTACGACGACTGTTTGAGGAGAAAAACCCAGAACAAGGGTACAACGGCCTCAAGTACTTCTTGACAATTGTTGCAGTTTGCTTGAGGACAGCTTACAGTATACAAAAAGGTAACGTTGCATGGAGAGTGCTGGCTGGAATTTTCTCAGCAGCTGCTGCCATATTCTGTACTTACTGGGATTTCGTCCACGACTGGGGACTTCTGAACCGAACATCCAAAAACCGTTGGTTGCGGGATAAACTCCTCGTTCCCCATAAGAAAGTATACTTCATTGCAATGGTGAGTTGAGGCGAAAAGATCATCTCACACAAAACAATCCCTTTATATCTTATCTTGTTTGCAGGGAACTGATATTTCAACTAAACTTGCAGATTTTGAATGTGCTTCTAAGGTTCGCGTGGTTGCAGACGGTGTTAGATTTCAATTTCTCTTTTATGCATAGGCAAACGATGGTAGCCGTTGTCGCCAGTCTTGAGATCATCCGCCGTGGCATATGGAATTTCTTCAGGTACAGATATTTCATTGACTACTTATGAATGTGTGTGGACAAGCCATTCTTTTGTTGTGATTGTAATAATTCTCTGTTTGGTTCATGGAACAGATTGGAGAATGAGCATCTGAACAATGTAGGCAAGTACCGTGCATTCAAGTCAGTTCCACTGCCGTTCAACTATGACGAGGACGACGACAAAGACGACTAGTTGCTCAATCATGATCATTTTTTTTGGTGATATATCTCACTTTCTTGTAAGATTCATTCCTCTGTTTTTGTTCCTTTTTTTCCCATTTTTTGTAATAAAAAATCTCTCTTGACTGTATTCTTGCCCTAACTTCACATATATCGGAA